CTGTAACAACATCTGCAGTTTTATACAAGAATTCTCGCAAAAAATACTTAGCAAAATGGTATGCAAGTAAAGTTTTTGTTTATTTTTGGACCATCAAATAAAGAATAAACATTCAATAACAAGTTTGCGTTTGGTTAGATTATACTCAAAGACAAGACTAAAGCCTTAGCCTTATGTCAATTAGTTATCTTTACTTGTAATTTCTCCATTCTTCCTTTAATACTTTTCTTAGCTAATTCCCTATTACTTTTTATCGGACACACAAACCACCAAGATCATGACCTTTGCCTGACTTAAGTTTGTATTTTAGATTTTCCTTAATACTTAATGCTTTATTCAGATTTGTCCAAGACTAATGATACAACAATGTTAACCTATTATCTAAGGATTTTTGTTTCCTTTTTAGCCTGTGGACATGGCTTTTTTGGCAGCTTAGGTTTAGTGTTAATAGTTCATTACACAGAAGCCAAATCTTATATCATTGGTACTGAGGCATACTGTCTAGTATTAAGAAATTGTAGGAAAACCTCTTGAACAATCTTAATTAAAACTTGGGTTGGTAAATTAAAAACTTTATTAACTAATGAGATACAGATTTCAATAATTCAATCATCACTGATTTCACAGACATTTTACTATAAAAATTCTTGAAATACCATACACTTTATGTTGGTGTCTGTCCAGAATTGTTCGTTCTCAGCAGCGAAAATGCTATGAAAGGGCAAAAAAAAAAAAGTCAAAAAAATAAAATAAAAGGAAAGAACAGAATAAAAATATACTAAGCTGTCCAGGATTAGAAAATTATCCTGTTATCTTTGGAAATTGTTGCCAAAAAAATAATCATCTCAAATCTGCCATATCAGCAAAAATGATCAAGAAACCATAGTAATCATTAAAAAGTCTTTGACACCAAGAAGTCTATAGCATTCAATAATTCCAAACATTACATTACTTTAGGCGCTCTTTGCAAAATGCATTAAGGATAATTGAATAATAGCATTTTTCATTTTCTCATGAGTATTGTTATCATCCAAGCCTCACAAACCAATGAATACTCTACTCTATTTAACATCAACCAAACCAGTTGATATTGCCAAACAAGCAACACAGCATGAACAGTAGAAGTTAGCAGCGCTGTAGTACCATAATAACAGTGGTGACATCAAGACTACTATAGTAGCAATAGCAGAAGTAGTGGTAGAAGTAGCAGCAGTAATGTGTAAAAGTAGCACAGTCGAAGAAATAGCAAAGTAGTAATAAAGCCTAAGTGATATATTTCCCCTTAAATTCACAGTATTATAAGGTAATTTAAGTTTCTAAGAGTCTGTAAATAATGTACCTACTGCCAAGTTTTAAGTTCAATGTACTTATACTGGTCAATAAAAAGCAAATTTATTCTCGTGCCTCAATTACTAATAGTGATACAGGAACTGTACTTCAAAAAGTTGGACAAAAAAACTTAACTCTAAACCAAAATACTTCACATCTAACAAATACCTTCCAGGATGATAATGTAACACTGACTGTCAGCACGGCTTTTGTATCAATTCCCAATATAGTCCTTAACATGCCGTAACTATGGTGATGTTTATTTCCCCCACTGGCTATGTTTTCAGGTGTAGAATGACTAGGTAATAATCTGCCAATTTTCCTATTCATTTCCTATGTCTTGGGAATTATAACTCTGTTGAGATGGAAGTTGAAACAGAGAGGGAATACTGCAGGTTTAGATTAGATTATTATCATTGATTTATTAAGATAAACTATGCTAAAAATTTTAAAACTGACCTTTAAACATCATCAATTACTTTATTTTTAATTTATATTTATTACAGAAATGAAGTACAATGATTTTTTTTTTTATCAAAAAGAGCCAAACGATAGACTTCTTTTCTACTACTTAGTCGACTAATCTGGTGGTAGCCACTGTGTGTACGCTGAACCATGGAGATCTGTAGCTCCCCGGTTCTATTCCCATCGCTGCCTCTCCTTGTGTTTCAGCTGAAAGGCTGAAATACAAGTTACAATAGCGCAGCAGCCAATAGTCATCTTTCGGATGAGACGTTTAAGCCATTGGTCCCCTGTGCATTATGGCCCATGTGCACGTTAAAGAACGCAGTACACTCTTCAGAAACGAGTAGGGGTTTGTCTCCCGGTGTACTGCCCAATCACCACCAGAAGGACCACACTGGAATTAAGTTTTCTTCTAGACATTTTTTGTGGGCTATCCTTGGTGTTTACAACAAATTAATCCAATCCAATACGCTTTTCTCGAAGTTTTGATGATAAAAGCTATCTTTGTTGGTGGCGTACAAGCCTCTCCACCACCAAAAATTTTAATCAGACCAAATATTATTTCTTGAGCCTTCAAACACAGACAGCAGAATTCAGATTCATAATGGAGTTTTACAACACACCCAAATGCTAATAGATCCTTGTCATTTGATTGGTGGGTTTAATATCATGTGATAATGGGTATTTACACCATTTAATGGAGGAGTAATCCTTTCTTTTGATTTGCGTCACTCTTCATGAGGATTCAGTTTTATTTTCATGCATGTTTGTTGCATTCGTTTCATTCCATTGCACACCACAACCTGTTTTTTTTTTTTTTTGTAAAGACACTGTACGATATTACAGGACCTTTTTTTCGGAAGGTCAAATTGTGGCTATGAAATGTTGCCTTAAATGACGCCTTTACCATTCGTTGATGCTCAGATGCCTTGTTCAATGTAACAGTTCACCTTTCAACTCAGGAAGAGATTCATTACGTTATATAACATTTTCTAAGTTTAAAATGACAAAGTTTCTTTTGTTTTGATTTATTTCAGTTACACTAGTGAACTGCATACAGTAGGTCACAAATGCAACGTAGGCCTAAATATTTCACTTCCCAAATGCACTTTAGAAAGCACTTTTTTATGAATACTGATGATTGAATAATTTGATTAAACAGAGAGGTGATACTGTATACCAATAAATGATTTATGTAAATTCACAAAGCCCATGTGCACGTTAAAGAACGCAGTACACTCTTCAGAAATGAGTAGGGGTTTGTCTCCCGGTGTACTGCTCAATCACCCCCAGAAGGACCACACTGGAATTAAGTTTTCTTCTAGACACTTTTTGTGGGCTATCCTTGGTGTTTACAACAAATTAATCCAATCCAATACGCTTTTCTCGAAGTTTTGATGATAATAGCTATCTTTGTTGGTGGCGTACAAACCTCTCCACCACCAAAAATTTTAATCAGACCAAATATTATATCTTGAGCCTTCAAACACAGACAGCAGAATTCAGATTCATAATGGAGTTTTACAACAAACCCAAATGCTAATAGATCCTTGTCATTTGATTGGTGGGTTTCATATCATGTGGTAATGGGTATTTACACCATTTAATGGAGTAATCCTTTCTTTTGATTTGCGTCACTCTTCATGAGGATTCAGTTTTATTTTCATGCATGTTTGTTGCATTCGTTTCATTCCATTGCACACCACAACCTGTTTTTTTTTTTTTTGTAAAGACACTGTACGATATTACAGGACCTTTTTTTCGGAAGGTCAAATTGTGGCTATGAAATGTTGCCTTAAATGACGCCTTTACCATTCGTTGATGCTCAGATGCCTTGTTCAATGTAACAGTTCACCTTTCAACTCAGGAAGAGATTCATTACGTTATATAACATTTTCTAAGTTTAAAATGACAAAGTTTCTTTTGTTTTGATTTATTTCAGTTACACTAGTGAACTGCATACAGTAGGTCACAAATGCAACGTAGGCCTAAATATTTCACTTCCCAAATGCACTTTAGAAAGCACTTTTTTATGAATACTGATGATTGAATAATTTGATTAAACAGAGAGGTGATACTGTATACCAATAAATGATTTATGTAAATTCACAAAAAAAAAAAAAAAAACAACATTTTTTACAAGGTTTAAACTATAGAAATATGTTGTGTTTGACATTAATACATGAGTGTCACTGATATAGATCCACAATGAGGATTTATAAGCTTTCCAACTTACTACCACAACGTAAAACAGAATCATATTCCAAAAAAGATAATTGAAGATCATACTCTGCTTCTCCATTCAGGCCCATGTACATTTATACTGGGCTGGAACAACATGGGCTGAGCTATTAACTGCTGGAATTATTTTCGAGCATGCTAATTTAAGATTTCTTATTTCAGTCTATCTATGCAATGAAAAGATGTCACTTGTAAGTCAACAAAATGTTTAAATATTTAATATTTCTCTGTTTTATCAATTCATTTTCATGCTATATTTAAGTATGTAATTGTTTCAGACATACTCTTATTTGGTTCATTTTGCTATGGGCCTATTATTAGCAAAATTTAGCAAACTTCTGAAATCCCCAAAAAGTAGCGATAAACATCGGCTCTTTTAATGTGGAATTATTCAAATATTACGATAAAGCTACAATATCGAGTAGTACAATCATTTATTATTTATATGAAAAACATATGCAGTGATCCTCCTATGTTTCATGTGATGTCACCCATGTTATAAATTACATTCTACATCCTAATGCTACAAAAGTGCAAAGTTCACATAAATTGATCTAGTACAGGTCCAATGTTGTGTTAGTAATGTGAACATAATGTAAACATCTTTTTTTGCACTCGTATATTACGAGAAAATCAGCATAATAATAGAGTCAATTGAATAATAATACTTCACATACCAATGTTCAATACATGATGTACCGTTAATTCAGAAATGATTTGTTTCCTTCACTAAACTACAATAAGCAATGCATAATGAAGCTCATAGACACGACAGAAATGTACAGTAACGCAAAACATAGAGAAGATCCATACAAAGCGTGACATTTGATCTAATGTCATTTTCTAATACTCAACTGCGATGACTTTGACACGTTCGTTTTCCCAATTCGCCACAAACTATAATTGGTACAAGCAAGTACTGTAGAAATATTCTTCAGGTGTATGTAATAAAACAAATTACTTACCTTTGCCCATTTCGGATTAAGTTCCTTTGCACGAGTGGCATCTTGAAGAGCGTCCTCATACTGCTTAATTTTCACATACGCTGCTGAGCGATTACTGAACAAAATGTGATTCGTAGGGTCCAATTTGATAGCTTCTGTGTATAGTGTAATGGCACGGGGGTAATCACATGCCTGACAGGCCTCGTTGCTAAGCCGAACCTTCTCTTGGAAGAGGGTTCTCTTATCTTCCATGGTGGAACCTATGCTGTCAATGTGACTACTGCTGGAGTGACAAGAACTGGAGCTGCCATTGTCATACTCCTTTGGAGACTTTCTCTGAAAATAGAATAAAAATAAAATTAAACTCTACATCAATAAATCTTATAAATTGCAAATGGTAGAGCTGGATGGTAGAGACAATTATTGTATGAAATTTCATAGCCAAAACAATTGTAAAGCTCTAAATAATCAGCTATATGTACAAAAATTATGGCATAAAATGCAATTATCAATATATATTAAATTTTGGTCCGCAAAACTTAATTAAAACTACTGTATAAATATATTGCAGTACAATAATTTTTAAATAGCATGGGAAAATAATATATAGTAAATATAATAAACTTTTAGTATTGCTCATTTTATACAAAGTGGCTAAAATAATTTTTAAATGATTTCAATATTTTATAAGATATGATAAACTGTAATTTTCCATCAAAACATGTTAGAAACTCATTTGTCTATTTGGCATAAAATACAAAAATGCATTAATTAAATTACATCACAATCCGCATTGCACTAGAAATACAAATATAAAATTGTTTTATCAAAAGGAATTAATTGAGTACAAGGAATCATTCTGTCAATAGATGAATCGTAATTCATTGATGTATCTAATGACTAACCTGTTTTAAAAAACAAAATTGAGTCATATATTAAAATACATCTGGGGCAATGGTAAAGAGTTGTCATATAGCATCTCCCATTGGGATCATTAGATGCATCCTAAGAAACAACATAATGACATATAATGTCTGTGTAACAAATAGCTGTTTACTTCAAAGGGAAACAGTAAAGTTGATATCAAAACCATTCTCACTTTCCAAAATGAATATGCATGACCATGGCACATAGTGTTTGAAAGTATTAATAATATTTTTAGAGAGTAATTTCAAGGGAATAGAATGTGATTATTAGTTGTGATGTTTCGTATGGGAAGATTTAAAGCACCCAAGAGTATACTAATTTTAACATCATTTCATTTTTGTCAACAGAGGGCGACACACAAAGTGCTACTTCATCCTCAGTCATTTTAATAGATGGATAACACAATCAATTAGTCTTCATCATCAATCATGTTTTTATGGTTCAAAAGAATTTACATGACTATGAAACTATATTATTAAGTAATGGTGGGATGACTGCTAATTTTGAATATTATATCAAATGACAATTGGGATGATGATGATGATGATGATGATAACATTGACGATGATGATGAGATGATGATGGTGATGATGATAATGGTGATGATGATGATGATGAAAGAAAATAATCCACAATATAACTAGATCCAAATTACAAAATACAGGTGGTGATGATTATGATAATGACTATGATGATATGATAATGATGATATTATAATTGTGATAATGATGACAATGCTGAAGTTGATATTATGCTGATGATAATAGTAATGATGATGTTGAAATGTGTAAAAAATGAAAAACAGTCCAATCAATCAAACAATATAACTTAGTAGATTTCCAAAATCAAGTGTTCTTAAAAAGAGGTTGAGCTACTTTTGGCTTTTTCATAATTTAAAACATCTGCAATACACTGTAAATTATCAATATGAAATAAAATTGTTTATTGATTAATTTCTAACCTGATTTGAGGGGAAAAAAAGATAACGATAATTTCAATTAGAATGGACTTACAGTATAACCCTGATTTCTCTGACTTTGTTAGAGTAATTTAAGTGGCAAATTCTTATGTGAAAATCACCACTGATAACAAATGAATTAAAAGAGTTTCTTGAGGCGCTGACAAATTAAAATGGCCTTTTAAACTAATTTTTCGCTTCACCTAACTTGTCGCATTTCAAGGTTTCTTTGAGCACACAGGCATCTGGTTAGATGACCAAATTCCCTGCCTTAATTATCTTCTTTATCAGGATCCTACAAGTGCAACGGTTCCCAATGGACTACAGGTAGGTTCATCCCAGTTTAAAGACCATGGGTCTAATTTTAAAGCTGACAGGTATATTATGATCTTCATTGGAATTTTAAACACATTTCTTGTTTCATCACATGATAAACTAGGTTAAAACATAGCAAGCTTACTATATAGTCTGGTAGGCCTAATATTGAAATAGATAATTAATTGGACACAGCACAACAATGTATTTCTGAGTGCAGTACACTTTTTTTTTATATTCAGGTATACTTTATTAAAAAAAACGTATAAACGTATACCTGAATATAAAAAAAAAAGTGTAATGCACTCAGAAATACATTGTTATGCTGTGTCCAATTAATTATCTATTTCAATATTAGGCCTGTTTATATTCAGGTATACTTTATTTTTTAAAAAAAGTATACCTGAATATATAAAAAAAGTGTAATGCACTTAAAAATACATTGTTATGCTGTTTCCAATTAATTATCTATTTTCAATATCAGGCCTACCAGACTATATAGAAAGCTTGCTATGTTTTAACCTAGTTTATCATGTGATTCATGTGAGTTCTTATTTTTTGGCCGATTTCAGGCTCAAAACGTTCTTATTTTGTTCTTATTTTTACACATTTTTCAAACATACAAAATTATTATTGTACAGCTGTATATTACTGTACTGCATTATAGAGGGTACTACATAGTTACACCTACTGCACATAATGTACAGATAAGATTTGTCGGTTTTTTTCTCTTTCAAAAAAATAAAAACTTATTAGACATTTTGCCTCAGCCTCAATTTGTTCTTATTTTGTTCTTAATTTTTAAGCAATTTCAGCCTCAGTGCTCTTAAAAAATGTGTTCGTACATAAAAAAAAAAAGTGTATTACAAATTTCCATTTTATTCACCGAAATAATCTGATTTGATCGATAAAAATTCAGGAAACAAATAACAATGTAGTTCAATAACATTCAAAATTTTCTAGTACACTTTTTTGTGTACAAAATTTTGGCCAGTCTCAGTGTTCTTATTTTTTTGCAGATTTCAGACTCAAAATGTCCTTATTTTGTTATTATTTTTTCATACTTTTCAAACATAGAACATTAATATTGTACAGCCATGTATTTCTGTACGGGGATAGAGGGTATTATAGTCATACCTACAGTGCAGCAAATAATATACAGATAAGATTTGTTAAGATTTAATAAAAAAAAAAACTCATTTGACATTTTACCTCAGCCTCAATTTATTCTTATTTTGTTCTTAATTTTTAAGCAACTTCAGCCTCGGTGTTCTTATAAAATGTATTCTTTCCCTTTCTTCTTGCTCTTCTTTTCCTTTTGTGAATTTATGAACTTCTGAACTCTAAATTTACATTCTTAAACATGATGTTGGGAGCTACCCAGTAGCTCATGAATTTGTAGATTAAATACCAAAGTCCTAGGGATACAAATGTGATGTGATTATTTCACTGAACTATAGCTACTCTTTGCTAAAAAAAAAAAACAAACGTTTACACAAATATGGAGTGGTATTAGAAATCACTGCCCATAAATAATTTGAAACACTGAACCATGTTTCTTTATATTCTTTCTTACATATTCTATTTAAACCATCAATTAATATTTAACTGTCTATTTAGAGCTTAACTTATATGGAAAAATGAAACTGAATACATGAAAAAATTGAATAAAATTCAGTGATGTAACGACCACCTCACTGCTCCCTCTTAAACAAGAAATATGAATATACAGTAGTCATATACTGTATACTATTAGTTACTATGAACATCATATTCTGGTAGGTAGTACAGTACCGGCCAGTTTTATTGCAAAAATCCCAACGCGTTTTACCCGTTGTCGTTGCGTTGCGTTTGCGTTGAGTTGCGTTGCGTTGAAATGAACGTTGAGAGTACATTGTTTATTTAACGATG